GAACAATCTCCTAGAGCAAGAGAATATAATAAGGTGAGCCACGTGTTTGCTACAGCATTATGTCAATCAGGGGGGATTAGGGGCCTGGGGGAGCCAATTTCACTGTGTCTTAGACAGTACATGTCATGATAAGCAAAATAGAATAAAAAAAATTGATATGATTGATATTTTTAATGAAAAATGTTACGGAATCTACTCATTGGCTCCCTGTAGACTACTACTAGCTGGCGAGCAATGTGTTGGCCTATTGGCCTAAAAGCAGCATGATGCAGCCACCAAATTCCTGGAAGAAACATAACTAAAGCATAACAGGGTACCATAAATCTAAGGTTGCAGAATGATGTGGATCGTGGTCCTAAACCCGACAGAACCACATATTTAGTAATACATATATAAAGCTAACCAGAAACTTTGAACATTTTGGTTTCATGGGGTCTTTAAAGCATTTTATATGGGGCTGTCATATAAAAGGCATAAATAAAAACCCATGGCCCTTTCAGGACCTCAGTTATCTTAACATGGATCACGTCACCACTCAAAGTTTCTGCCACTCTACACACTAAATCGAATGTTTGTTAAACAGCCCAAGAACTGGCTCTGACAGCAAGGGCGCTTTTCCACCGCACAAAGTACGGTACTTTCGCTTTTCCATTGACTTCCGGTCAAGTACCAGTACCGAAATCTCGAGTACCGAAAGTGCCAAACCAGTTGGGGTACTTCTTTGGTACTTCGGTACTTTGGGGTGGGACTTGCAAACGTATTTGCTGTCGATTGGTTATGCAAATAGCCTACCGCTGAAACACAAAAAACAACCGCCATCTTTTGAAATACACAGCGAGAAACAAAATAAAAAGCAGTAGAAGCAAAAATATAAAAAAGTAAAATGGAAGGATGGACAAACGAGGAAACACAGGCTTTAATCGCCATATGGTCGGATGAACAGATCCAGTGGGATTTGGATGGCACAACTCAAAATAAAAAAGTTTTTGCCGTTCCGAGCAGTTCAGTTTCCCCGTTTCCCCTGTCGCACGCTGATTTGTACATGGTTTCGCTGTTGTTTTCATGTCTTTTTACGAGGTAAACAAGCCATATATTAATTTTAAAACATCACATGCCTTTTGTATGTTTTTTGTTTTTACAGATAATAAATGAAATTACTTAATTCGGTGGATAGAGGTATTTCTTGATGAAAACGGTATAGTATTGCTTATAAGGCTATATTATGCGTGACGATCTACTGTATTCACGTGTAATAATGTACCTGAGAAACATTATTTCCCGATAGACAGGAGAAATATAGGGAAACTGAATTGCCCGGAACACCGTAATACCAAGCCGTTTGGAAGAAATGGGGCACACGCGAAACACTGAACAATGCCGCTTGAAAAATCAAAAAACATAATTAAATAATTTGTTTGCTTTCAAAAGACTGAATTAGCAGTAAGCTAATTCTTACTGCTTTGATCGGCTTAGCCAAAGTAAGTGTACCTACGTAAACGTAATTGATGGCAGCACGATTTGGATTTTACTGAATCTTATACTGGATAGAAGGGCAGCGTGTGGCTCAGTGGGCTAAGCCTGTGTGCTTGTAATCACAAGGTCGCCGGTTCAAACCCGGCCTCAGCACGTCTGTGGGTCCTTGAGGAAGACCCTTAACGCCCAGCTCCCTGGGCGCCCCAACAGGTGGCTGCCCTTCGCGGACAACTTATGTAAATGGAATGGACTGCATTTATATAGCGCTTTTCTACTCCTACGAGTACTCAAAGTGCTTTACAATACATGCCTCACATTCACCCATCCACACTCACATTCACACACCAGTGGCGAAGGCTGCCATGCAAGGCGCCAACCTGCACACCGGGAGCAATTTGGGGTTCAGTGTCTTGCTCAAGGACACTTCGATGGGGTCAGGAGGACCCGGGGCTCGAACCGGCAACCCTCTGGTTGCCGAACAATAGCACTACCTCCTGCGCCAACCATCTACAAAGAGCAAGTTAAGGGAGGCGTAAAAACAATTTCCCCACGGGGATCAATAAAGTATCAATAAAAAAAAGCTGACATAACAATAAAATGCATTTTCCAGCCTCAACTGTTAGTTTTAATTTTGGGCTGTCAGTCAGGAGCGGTCACTGATGATGTCATTTGGCGCCAGTACCATTTTTTACGCCAGTGGAAAACCGACATGAAAGAAGTACCAAACTTTCGGCACTTTATGGAAGTACCGAAAGTACGGTACCTGGTGCGGTGGAAAAACGCCCCAAGATGAAGGCACAGGAAAATATCAGCCACAGTGGCATCCCAACACCGCAGTAACACCAAAGCCACCTCCTCAGCAGAGACACAAGGAGCCCAAAGCAGCTTCATTAAAGGTAGCTGTCCTGGGTTCCAGTCCTACAGCTCTGCTTCCCACTCTGTTTGACAGTTCTGGGGCCAAAGTCCCCAGCATCGGCCTCCTCGTTAAAGCTAATCGCAGCCTCCTGAGGTACCGGGGCGGTTCACCATGGAATGTCCTTTCAAATGTCTGCGGCCCAGATGTTACTTCCCGCGCTGAAGACCTGGAACGTGGTTTATAGACTTCTGAAAACAGCCCATCCCCTTTAACATGGGAAGCCTTCACTGCCTCGGAAAAGCAGATCCCCCGTACCCTGCCTCCCATTATTATGCCTGGTCCATTGGGGATGAAGCAAACAAAGGAGAACATCTCACTCAGCTAAGCACCCCAAACAGCCTCCAGTTCCGCACTCAGATGATCCCAGTACAAAGCAACCCATCTTACTGCAGACATAATCCATACTACTGCCCGCACCATGGATGTGCAAAAATCCTCTTTATGAAACAGGGTAAAGTCTTCGGAAAACCAGGCAAGATGCAAGAGTTAAGAGTATCACAGAACTAATCGAACATCACTGCCTATCTGGCATACCAGACATTTTCCCAGTGGGTCATCAAAATTTGTCATGGGAGACTCCCTCCATCAGCAAATTTGATTAGGAATGCATGTGTGGTTGGCCTGTGTGGGTAAAAGGCCAGGGCCGATTTTTAATCCCAGTCCAATACTGGTCACAGCCAGCCAGCTATGCAATGTTCTCTGCAAACATATTTCCCTACAAGATACAAAGGCTCATACACAAGTGTTGGCCAGTACTAAATATAATATTAATAAAAAATATTATTATTATTATTATTATTATTATTATTATTATTATTATTATTATTATTATTATTATAATACTAATAATAATAATAATATACACAGAATCCCATGCAGCGTGTGGCTCAGTGGGCTAAGCCTGTGTACCTGTAATCACAAGGTCGCCGGTTCAAACCCAGCCTCAGCACGTCTGTGGGTCCTTGAGCAAGGCCCTTAACCCCCAGCTCCCTGGGCGCCCCAACATGTGGCTGCCCTTCACAGACAACTTACTCTGCAAAGAGCAAGTTGAGGGAGGCGTAAAAACAATTTCCCCACGGGGATCAATAAAGTATCAATTATTATTATTATTATTGTACTGCTATACAGCACCAGCTGAAAGTCCACACAGCCTACCATTGAAGTGCTTTGCTTGGCTGTACTGATGCCCTGTGTTTTTGTGTATTAAATTTGGACCTATTTTCTGAAATTCTCACTTGGTTGATATTTGTGTAGGATCTCTGACGCAAGGTTTTAAGCTGCATCAGAATGTCTCAATTGAACCCACAACTATCTTTCACTTGCATCTAGTCAATCACTGAGCTCAGCCTAGCAGCACTGATACAAAAGCTGGCACATTGACAGCTGTAAGCTTGTTATGTAATAGCTGCCTCACTTGTGCGTCGCACTGGACAAAAGCGCCTGCCAAATAAATAAATGTAAATGTGATACAGAATAAAAATTCTTATCTAGAGCTACATGGTCCAAACACACAAAATCAAAACTCATTATTTATTGTGTTGATGGCAGTCTTTTCTTTCAGCATCTGTTCATATTTATGGACAAGCACCGGCGGGATGGTCCATCCATTTGTAGACCCTTAGCCTTCCACCATTACTGCACTTAGGATTTCGAACAAGAATTTAGACAAATGTGATTATACCGGATTTAAGCATCACATTATATCGATTATCAACATGCATTAACATCAATCGGTGATACATTTAATTCACAAAAACCAAAGCACTACATACAAAATTAAGTAATTATATTGCATCCAACTGTATACGGAAGATTTTGGGCAAGAGATTTTAGTGGCAAGAGGAAAATACATCATGAATAATGCTCTTTTTTACTGTATTATACCGTCAGTGTATTGTTGCCGGATATATGGGTAATACTGCGACATTTATCATCGTAAGATGTATGCAATCGTTCGGGGTGGTTCACCATGAGAACCCCGGTGAACAATGAAAGGACACAATGAAAGGCACAATTTCATATTTCCACCACAGTGTCTGCCTTTCATATCGTGCTCAAAACCGATCCCTCCGAGACTACAGTGAATTTTCAATTACTGGACACAAATTCATTTATGGATCCGGCATATATTTACAGGCAGGGGAAATATGACAGCGAGACGCGCTGAAAGGCCACCATTTTCATTTCTCAACATAACAATGACTCACAGACATGCTGGGGTCGCTGACAAACAGCAAGGGCGCCCGGGTGTACACGAAAACGGCAACATTCAATATGGAAACAATAAGACGCATCGTTAACCAGCGGCGATAAATAACACGGTGGGGAAAGCCAAAGAAAGAGCGCAATCAGCACGACCAACAAGCCCACCTAACTATGCTTAATTTCCAATAACAAGATAAATACGCATCATTTATCATACACGAATTATTTAATAGCCTACGGGATTTTCTAGGCTTTATACGATTACGCAAAATTTACCAATGAGATTAACAAAAACAGGGACCAGGTGGCATCTGTAACACTTACTGTAATGGTGCCTCAGTATAGGAAATCCCACGGTTTCGGAAATCCCTCGTTATCGGAAATCTCACGGTTTAGGAACTCTCACCTTTAAAATTAAGAAGGGGCGCCGCTTTAGTGCTGCCGCTCCGATTGGGCGTGTAAGAGCGGCCGATCGCAGAGAGACTACGCGGTGTTGTCACTCCTCTATCCCCGCTTCACAGCCGCGGTCCTGCTTTCTCCTGGACGGCGAGTTCAGACACATCCAAGCCCAGGGCCGGGATCTCATCTCCGCTTCGGACTCCCGTGATCTCCGCCATCGTGTCGGACGGGGCCAAATTGCAAACTATCCGTATAGGAGCTCCTTCAGTTGGGGAAGGACGTTGCATGAAAGCTGTCAGCTGTGCCCACGTACCTCAGCATGATCCCAGCGCAGGAAACTGCGTGTTTTATACGGCCCGGTCCGATTGGATGTCTAGGGGTGACGTTTGGGCTCCGGTCGAGCTTTACATTGGGCGTGATCAGTAGGAATGGACCGTATGGACCCATGCACCGAGATAACCGATGCTTTATCGGGGCACAGCCGACATTTCTCCAGCGTTTTACCATTTCCTTTATGTAGACAGTCCGATGCTTCTTGTGTAATTTGCACATTTGAATCATGTCCTGAAATGCTGTTTGCAATGAGATGGTCCATATCTCTGTTTATATATGATTTATTTATGATTGTGGGACTGTTTAGGAGGTATTTTGTATCTTGTGTGTCTTTTTTAACACCAAGAAGTGCAGCCCCCTCCCCCTACCTCCTTAGTCTGAGAGCTCCAAATGAAAAATAACTCCTAATATAACTGGACTATGGAGGATCACCCATGATGACACCTGGGCCCCACAAGCTAAACGCCAAGGCTTTCTCAAGGACTCAGTGTGACCATCTGCCTCCTGTCGCCAGAGAGAAATGACAATCATCTCACTTAAAGAGATGGGCAGTGTCCCTGTGGCTTAGGGGGGTAACTTTACACCAAAGATTATTTGCAGAGGAAATATAGCACTTCTTACATAAACATCACAAAAATAAGTATTGTAGTAAAGGTGTTTGACTTACGGCTGAAACAGTACATCCAAAACCAAAGGATACCTATATTTAACCAAGGCTGACTACATTAGTGGTGGATTAAGAGGTCTACAGAGTGAAAACAAGGCTCACATTGAAATATATAGAGTTGGGTGTTTGTTTAGCTTCCAAGAACAGAGTATTTTATCACTGTTTACACCACCTTATCTTACAGCAGACAGAGGCTTTTGGAATAGCCCTCATGTGGTCTCATGCATGGCCCACTTTCTCTAAATTCACAGCAAGTCTTTGGGTATATCTGTATGCCATGATATTGTAATAATAATCCACTCATTCTGCTAAGAGTCCCAGTAACAGAGGCACTCTTACAATAACTCAGTGCTTTGCAATGGAATATAATGTAGAAAGCTGAGGGAAAACTTCCCAAAAAGGTGGCTTTAACTTATATATAATATATATATATATATAATATAATATATTTTTGTACATGGTATAAAACGAGTGAGAATGGGATAGAAAAATGCAGGACAAAGGAGAATACACAGAAAAACTATAATCATCTTTCTAAGATGAAGTGCAGTATATTGGTAATTTACATTATTTATAATTCTGTCAGTTATAATATTACATTTACCTTTGCTAATCTATCAGTTGCTCTAAACCACATGATTTTCTACTTTGTATTTGTTTTGGGCTACGCAGTGCTTAGCGCTACTGCCTCACAGCAAGAAGGTCCTGGGTTCGGTCCCTGGTTCGGCCGTAGGACCTTTCTGTGTGGAGTTCGCATGCTCTCCCCGTGTTTGCGTGGGTTTCTGCCGGAGGCTCCAGTTTCCTCCCACAGTCCAAAAGTGTGCACGGTAGGTTAATTGGCGAATCTGGTTGGCCCCATACTTGTGTAAATGTGTGCGCCCTGCAGTGTGTTGGCGACTGCCCAGGGTTGGTTCCCACCTGCGCCTGTTGTTCCCTAGGCTCCGCCCCCCCCCCCCCTTGCAACCCTGGTCGGCATGAAACGGTTACGGTAATGAATGGATGGATTATTTGTTTTCCTATTATTATTCCTTTTTTGTTTTGTGTAATTATCAGGGATTCTTCATAGTTGTATTTAGAAACTAGCAGGGGAAATACAATTACATTGATTTTTTTCACTTAGCTGCTTTTATGGACAGGAATGATGCAGACAAATTAGATCAGCCATTTGATCAATCAAAGACATAAATAAATAAATGAAGCATGACAAGCCCACTTCTGGCAGGGAAAGAAAGAGGAACACACTAACAGCAAGCTTCCCAAGGGTGAGATTAGTTGAATGCTAACCCTGTGTGTGTGTGTGTGTGTCTGGCAGGGAAAGAAAGAGGAACACACTAACAGCAAGCTTCCCAAGGGTGAGATTAGTTGAATGCTAACCCTGTGTGTGTGTGTGTGTGTGTGTGTGTGTGTGTGTATGTGTGAGGATCTATGAAGACTACAGCAAACTGACACCTGACCCAGCTTGGGTCTTCAGATGCTGTAGATGGAATTGGATTCCAGCCAGAATCCTTGAGAAGCCGGAAAGTGGAGTATCATTCATGAATTCAGGATGGAGAAGCTTTTCTGGAGCACTTAGCACATAGCTCTCTGAGACACCCCTATAGAGCTTTTATGATGCTTAGAGAGGCTTCATAGCAATAGATGGGGTTATATAGCCAATCACTGCTGAGATTAACCCTGTGGGAACCAATGAATTAACCAGAGTGGATCGGGTTAAACCAAACAGTCATCTTCAGGACCCAGTGATCCCACCTACAGGGGGTTTAAAGCCATTAGTAGATTCATCCCACTACATTTCCTGGCCTAAAGTGGTTATGCAGTAGGTGTCCTAATTAGAAAAAACATTTCCTATTTTGATCTTTTTTGCTCACATGACAAATGTGTTTCACTGTGTTTAATTCACTTAGCATATTCAGAGTCATTTAGGTAATTTAATTTAATAATTTTATTTGTATAGCACCTTTCATACAATTGAATGCAGCTCGAAAAGACAATAAAATATAATATATGATCATCATTGCAAGACAGAAATATGGACGCAAAAGGAAAAATCAGAGCAAAAGGGCACTGATGAGTGCACTCACACCCACACCATCCATCCATCCATTAACTTCCGCTTGTCCGGGGTTCGAGTCGCGGGGGTAGCAGCTTCAGGAGAGATACCCAGACCTCCCTCTCCCCAGGTACCTTTACCAGCTCTTTGGGGGGATGCCGAGGCATTCCCAGGCCAGCTGAGAGATATAATCCCTCCAGCGAGTCCTGGGTCTGCCCCGGGGCCTCCTCCCTGTAGGACGTGCACGGAAAACCTCTCCGGGTAGCCGCCCAGGAAGCATCCACACCAGATGTCCAAACCACCTCAACTGGCTACTCTGAGACTCTGCCGGATATCCAAACTTCCCACACTATCCCTATAGAGCTAATGTCAGCCTGCCACAGGAGGTTACCACAGAAACCGAGGATCTCTCTCTGTCTCTCGGCCCTGGGGTCAGTCTATGGGCACTGTTTTCCAGAACACAAGGCTGATCCCCCGCCGCTGTCTACCCACCCATTGTCACAGGAGGCTGCCAGGATCAGGCAATGTCATAGAGACCAAGTGGCAGATTCTGTGCTGGTTAAAACAGCATGAAACAATGATATTGGATAGTTGAGCTGAACTGGAGACTGATTTGGCGTGTCACTGTACATACGTGTGAGTGCCCCGCCTTGGACTAGGAGCCTGTCCTTGGACTGGGAGCCTATCTCCATATATTTAAGTGCCATACAGCATGTCCCATGTTAAGTCACTATTATCTTACAGTGACAGAGGTTTAGTGTCTCATGGCACTGTGCGGTGGATAAGGCTTTTCCTATGTGTGTGTGTTTGTATTGTGTTTATATTACATTATGGAGACCATAAATATCTATGAATGCAATTGTAAAGGGTTAAGGCTGATAACAGAAAAATAATTTCTTAAGATAGTAAAAATAAGTAAATATAGAAGCTTGTAGAATTGGTGAAAGATTTAATTGTTCAAAAAGTTGCTATTAAAATTGTTAAAAGGAAGTTTAAATAAGTTTAAATAAGTTTTTTTTTTTTTTTTTTTAATAAAAATAAGGGAACCCACAAGTTTTGTTTCAATACGTTTAATTAATCACTAATGATATTGGAGGCAGTTTGCTCCCTTCCATTAGGGGACGCCAGGCTATGGAGAAACGCATGCGCAGAGTCGGAAACCACAGATTAAAACTGTGGTCAACCTGAACGCAATAGCCACGCCTATGTCTGCTCATTTTCTCCAAATAGGTTAGTAAATGTCTGTCCCTAAATAATTGTAATTGCACGGGTGATACGTTTCAGTTGGTGAATTAATGTATGTACTGTGATGTAAATGTAATGTTAGACTCTGTTTTGGTAACATGAGCGAATCTCTAAAATGGCGCGAGTCGCGCCTTCATGGTGAATGTTTACTTTACAGCCGCGCGCCTCGGGGAGTTAATATATAGTGTATGCGATGGCCGGTACAAGTTTATGACTGTTTCAAGTCTGTTTGTTTCTTTTATTGTAATGTATAAAACAGTATATTGGCGCTATGACATGTTAAAACCTGACATTTAATAGATAAGTGTTGAGTGTGAAAAACTTAATGCTGCGGCTAGTGCTTAAAACAATCAATTGTTAAAAAGTTCATCAAATATGTTTATATGGACTTGACTTAAAATGTAAACAGCTAACTGTGGCTGTGTGCTGTTTTGAGAGCGAAACATGGACTTTGAGTATTCTTCGTATTAATTTATCTGTTGAAATGGACAGATTAAAACTGTGGTCAACCTGAACGCAATAGCCACGTCTATGTCTGCTAATTTTCTCCAAATAGAGGTGACGCCAGCCGGGGAGGGGCTACGCAAAAAACTGAAAATGCCAAAAGTCTCGTATTTAGTTTGGTTACTCATGGTTAGGGTTAGGACTGGCTAGGGGTTAAGGTCATCATGTTGGGATTAGAAGTTTCCCCACAGAAATGAATGGAAATGAAGTCCCCACAAAGATATAATTAAAACCTCTCTATATAGTATATATGTGTGTGTGCGTGCGCCACATCTTTGGCTGAGTTTAATAGGGGGCTGAAGAGTGGAAATGTGGGGCAGAGGCTGATAGGGGATCTTTCTGAGGAAAATCTACAGCAATTGATTTTTCTGCTTTCAACATCTTAAAAAGAAAATGGTGTCAAGCATGGGGGTTGGTTATTTAGAAAAATGTATGAGGTAAGAATATAAATGAAATTCCACTGTTAAAATCTAAACCCTAAAACTACAAAAACATTGCCAGCAAAAACGCATAGCGGTTACACACTTGACTTTTTAGGTAGAAAATGAGCTGTGTCTAACTGTATTACCGTACTAATTGGCTTTTC